TTGACCTGCTCCTTCCCAGTAAGAAGCTGCTCCAGGAATTCGATCCTCGTGGTTTGCTTGTAGATTTGTCTCTAATGCAAAACGGATTCTTGGAAGAATTCACCGGGTTCTTCCTGCCAGCAAGTAAGTGTTTCTCGTTAAACTTAACCATCCCACCGTTTTCACTCTGGTCTCTCTTTCGCTTTCACCGTCCTCGCACTGTCTCTTCACCATCAACTCTACCGTCACTACCACTCCCTTTCATAAATCCCGTCATTTCCCCTTTCTCTCGATCAACTTCTCCAAATCATCACCAGCTCTGTGTTAGCTGCAGTTTAGATTTTTTCGTGATTCTCAAGTCTCTTGTTTATAAATAAGTTTTCGTGGTTCACAATGGCCTCACAGAATCGCGTTGAGTAAGTCCCAGAATCTATCGTGACAGACACTGGCTGACTGCAAATAGCTTCGAGTGCTCCGGAGCCCAGGGTAGATATTGTCTTCGTTCTTGTTTTGATTACTTATTCCTTAGTTGCTTATAACTGATCTCTGTGTGTTCTAGAATGGACGCTTCCGGGCTACGGAAAGCAAGGTTACTATCCATCCCAAGCATCAGCAAAGACCGGAACTGATCAAGCTATACCAGAAGCCCCCAAAGCCACTCCGGATGAGTTACCCAAACAGCCCCCAGCTGCACCTGCCATTAAAGGCACTTACAGCACGCCGGTGCGCCCCGCAGTTGTCCCACGACCAGCACGAGGCCGTGGAGGATATCGCGGACGGATTGGACGCTCAAGCGGGGTATCTCCTAAACCAAACCTTTTTGGAGATTCACCTGCGAAATCTAAGTGGAGAGGCAAGCTGGAGCCTACGGGTAAGATCAGATCCTGCGATGTGATTCAAAGGTCGCTAATAAAATTACAGGCCTCGTCAAATTACCCGCGCCTTTTGGGACCTTCAAAAATGAGTATGTATATGCCTTCTACATCATTACCTGAGATGTACTAAAGCTGCGACAGATTTTTCGGCGTTGCAAGATTGACAGGCTCGATCAGGAAGCCACCGGGGGCGCATGGCCGCTATGAAGTCTTTGAAGAGATTAGCCGACGTACAGGTGCCTTCATAAAGCCGCCCTTCTATAACGACAATGTAAACTCCTTTGCCTCCACCAAGGCGCACACTGACGGACATAGACCATCTACCTATGGGGCGAGCCGTTTCAGGTTGCAGCTGCAAAAGACATCATTCTCACTATCGTTGCAAAGTGCAACAATGCGAGCAAGAAGAAGGTAGTATGGGAGAAGATAATGGCGCATTCAGTCAGTAAGGAAGCTCGTGTGGAGTTGAAGGAGAGATACAATGCCAGGCTCCAGGTCCTGCAAAAGCAACCTGATTCCTCTTCCGAGTTTTCGGACCTTGTGAGTAAAATAGGCTTACCCGTTACATACCTCTTCGACCGCCTGGCTGACACTCCCTTGTAGATGCTGTTTCTGTGGCCAAAGGATGGTCCCTCTATCAGTGACTCCCTGGGTTCGCAGCTCGAGGCTCTCGACAATATACGGGTTAAGTTCAATTGTCACGTCTTTGTTCCAAAAGATCTCCCCAATCATATCTGTGCTATGGGGCACAACGATGAAGCCATGAGACAGATCGTCCGACGCCTCAGAACAAAGTGGACTGAGGTTGTTGCCAACTATGTTGTGAAAGGCAAACTCTACCTTGTCGAACCTCCGACTGCCATGAAAAGTAAGATTGTCGTGAAGAAGGACGCCCGCCTAGCGAAGCCATTACTCCGTGGGACACCACTCCAGGGCCCCGAGGCGCAACAGTGGCCCGATCGAGCGAGTCTGATCCAATCAAAGAATAATGCCCGGCTTCTGAGCATGGTCGAGAGATGCCTGAAGGGCGTGGTCGTTGTTCGTGGGCACTTGCGTATGCGGGTCAATCTCGGCTCGTTTATACTCGACCAATACCGTATTCCTGCAGACGACAAACCATACTATGTTCTGGAAGAGTTCAGAGAGATGATACTGCACGAGCAGACTAAGGGACGCTTGATACCAGGGTAAGCTCCGCTCCATTGTGTTTGTGGCGATGTCACTGATCATTCGTCATCCCTACAGCCTCAAGGTCCATAAAGACGAACTTCTTGCCAGATGTTACCAGGCTACCCATCTGCTTCAGCCATATCTCAGCACGGCACAATCGCTGAGCAGCGCCGAGCCTGCATTTTCAGTGAATTTCGAATTCCTAGGCCAAAGCAACTCCGTGCTTCGACTGGAGGCAGAATTCGCCAGGAGCCCCGGTGCATCAGAATACGAGACCACCCAGCGAAGATGGCTTAAACCCCGTCAGGACGGCCAATCTAGCGACAAACCTCCTCCCCTGCAGGTAGCCGTCATTGACTTCGAAAAGTCTGACTGGCAGCTCGAGTTGAAGTCTCTGGAATTTTATCAGGCCAGTTCGATTGATGCTGCATTGAGAGATTTTGCAGGCACTATCAAGTTCAGAAGCACCGCTACGATGCATGATATTTCGGCCAAGCCTGAGAGAAAGGTCGAATTTTCTCAATCCGCGCCGGTGGCTAGATTTATCGAGAAGTCCGCCATCCGTTACAAAATCAAAGGGACCAACTATACCCTAGAGATTGCTCGCTACGATGAGTATAGCCGTGCAAATGCGTCAGCGTTGTCCAACAAGCTGCCGGCTAGTTATGCGGGTCCTTTCACCACGGAGCCTAATACTTCCTGGGGCGCATCATTGTTCGACCCTCACTGGGACAATCTCTTGGGTGAACATGCCAATCTGGCTATCGGGCATGCTGCTCAGTATGACTCGAGTCTGGAGAGCTTTTTCCCGGCAAGAGGGGCAGGGGGCAATCCGGAGAAAAGCCAAGGGTTCTGGGCGTTTGTCGATATGGTGAAGCAGGTTGCGGGACTAATGGGTCCTGTACGGACCACCGCAACCTCTTCTGGAGAGAAGTCTCGGCTTGGGGCCAATTCTGCCATGAGCGTCAAGCCCACGACGGTTCAGGGCCGATCGAGCGACTCGTCGCCGGTCATGGGCACGACCGATCTGGCTGGACTGCTCAATGCAGACCTCGGAACCTTGTTCTAGTCTCATTGAGGCGACAAGGTCCGAGGTGGCGTCAGACGAGACTTCCTTGGCGTGTCGACAACACTCAGGACTACGGCGGCGTGGAGGAGGGTAGAGAACAGATGGAGGCGGGGGAATTCGTTAATATGGTATTGGGTTGTGCATTAATTGCCTTAGCTCCAAATTGCCAGTTTTTGATATTACCACCTCCCGAATGTCAGCCAAGTCTATGTCCTTCTGAATTGCAGGTGACAGTGGAGTTCCTTCAATGGAGCTGGCGTGCTCGTAGCGGACCGTCTCTTGCAACCCGCGGCTTGGGTGACATCAGACAGGTCTGTTCCAATGCGTCCTTACTAGGGTGTAACAGTTCCAGTCGTAGTTCATTCCGACTATACCTTCATCCCAAGACCACGCAATCTCCTCTGTTATAAGTCCAGATCCACTCAACCGGCACCCGCAGACGCAGTAGCAGCAGATCCAGCACCCTCAGCCAGCAACTTCTGTCTCAAAGCTAGAAGTAATCATTAGTTTACCACAAATCAAACCCAACAATGCACTCAATTGGCAAAGGAAATGCTTACCATCCTCAAACAACCTCTGCTGCTGACTCTTCGTCTGCACAATCTTCTCCAACTCGGTAAGATTTGTCTCCAGCTCCTTGACCTTATTTTCGTAGAACTCGATAGCTTTGGCGGCAGTCTAAACAACCCAAACGCATTAGCCTCACACACACTCTCTCTCTCTCACACATACACCTCCTCCCCAACAACCAACAACCTAGACACTATAAACAAAGGGTATCTGTATCTCACCTTCTCAACATAAAACCCCGTCCCAACGTCAACAAGCACCTTCTCCCGATCCGCCAACTTCCCCTTCACATACAACGAACTCGTCAACGGCACCAGGATATCCTCCTTCCCGTCGGTGCCCTTTTTCTGAGACCCAATTACACCCTCGTTGATGGAGCGCACGCAATCTTTGAATTTGAGTTGTGCGGCGCGAAGCTTCGCGTGCGAGGTCGTCAGGTGTTCGAGTTCGGAGGATAGGCGGGTTTGAAGGGCGCGGAGTTGCGGAACGGAGAGGGAGTTGATATTTACTGAAGAGGTGGTTTGTTAGGGGTATGTGGGTGGTGAGTTTGTTAAAGGGGGGAGGGGGAGGGATGTACCTGAGCCCGGAGGGGGGGAGTCGGATGATGCGGGGGTGTTGGGGGGTGGCATTTTTTTGGTTTTTAGTTTGGTTCTCTGGAAGGTGGTGGTGGTTAGATGGTTGAGTTGGGGAAGTGTGGGTGTTGGGGTTTGAGGGGGGGAGGTTGTGTTGTGGGTTGGGTTTGTGCTGTACTTACGTACTGGGTTGTATGGTGGTGGTGGTGGTGGTGATGCTGGCTTTGAGCTTTGAGGGTGGCCCGCCGCGGTCTCAAGTCGAGAGTGTATGGTGGGGATGGGGGATGCATAGAGGGCATAAGTGGTGGGTTGTGCTGGGTTGGTTAGTCAGCGGGTGGTTGGGTGCAGCCCTATATTTGTTAGTTTAACTGTTGGAGTGTAAAGGAGGGTTATGTGGATGCTTTATTGCAGTATTATATTATTTGTTTTGTGATGGAGGTGCTATAGAGATATTATAGTGTATGAGATTTACTTATTTTATGTGTTACTGAAGGTATATGATGTCTACAAGGTAGTTCTACGAATGGCAGTCGCAAACTGTTCTGCACCAAGCAAAGAGTGTATGTATAATTTGTCTGTGTATCACTTCCCTATATCCAGAAATTTGTATAGATCATCAGGCCCATAGGCCGCACAACATATCTAGTAATCGGTAACATCACCGACGGTCATCTCACTGTCAGACAAAAGCTTCGTGAAGATAAGTATAGATAGCACATCACGAACAACAGCTTGAATCTGCAATTTCAGTGCGAAGTCAAATCATCACGGGTCATAAGAATAGGCTATGGTTTGCAAGTCATTTCGCATTACCGCGAGGTCGTCTAGAAATTACAAGAGTCAGTTAAAAGCTTGGGATATGCATGAGGTGATGAGAAGACGTGAAATTGAATGTACTCACCAGCATCTTCGATTGGATACTTCTCCAGATAGTAATTCAGCTGACGCTCAACAACCCCAAACCGTCGGACTTTCTCAAGAGTCAACTTTCTCACACCGAACTTGTCGTAAACCACTAAGCTGTACATGGCTCCAAGGGCGTCACGGAAAAGTTGCGAGATCTTATATGTGAGACAATTCTCGGCGAGGCTCGCTTCTGCCTTTGCAGTGAGTGTACATTCGAGGACGGGTGATGCAGGACGGCTGCCTTCGGGTGACGAGGTTAGTTGGATTCCCATGTTGAAGGATTGTGTGTTGCTCATGGATAAGAAAGTTGGTATGTTTTGTACATTTGGTTGAGAAGTTGGGTGTGGGTGTTTTATAACTTCAGCAGGTGTGTATTGTGATAGTCAGGAATAGGTGGATGAAGATACACTGTATAGTACTTACAGGTATATCCCAAAATGTTTCAGCTCTTGATTTGTGTTCGGATTTGCTGATGAGTCTCTACTTTCGTAGAACCAGATAGGTCATGTAGATGATACGGAACCTGCCCACTTTCTATGGGATTTATCTTCAATAAAATGGCGAGAGCCATATGGGCGATGGCGTTCGAGTTGAATGAACCTAAATATATAACTTCATTCTAGAGATAAGAAGAAGAGGGAACTTTCTGGTCTTTATAGAAAAAGCGGTCATGTATAGGGCAAGTACCATTGAATAAGGGAATTTGATTTTTGATTTAATATCCGATATTGCGCTTACTCACTCACTAATATGGACATCTCGACACGTGCAAGCCAAAGCAGTAATTATCAACGCTGTATAGGTGTAATCAGAGGCTTGGCCTTATTCTTTCCTGTTCTCAATTTGTATAGGAGATTTCCAGTTTTGTGAATATATCCTTGGCATGTCCAGCTATTCTAGTAAGTGTGAGAAGGCAAGCTGAAAGAAATATTGGACTGTATTGCCTCTACCGAAGGAAGGAACAACTTTCATTGTGGAGAAACCAAGGGTGATAGCCTGCCACTCATTAAGGACAACGGTTCACTCAAAGAATTGATGTTTGAGGCAATACCACCACCATCATGAGCATTAATATCCAGAGTATCGGAACATCCCTGTAAAAGTACTACTCATCAAGCCCGCCAAATTACACTCGAACAAAGCACAATCTCTTTTATTCCTGTCGCAATAAACCGTGCACCAGCACATCACTAGACATCACCACCCCTCAACATCCAAAAGGAGGGAGACAGAAACCACACCCAAATCCCCTAATCTGCAATCCAATAATCCGCAACAGGATCGAAGCCACCCCTCTGCTCAAAAAGATTCACCAGAGGAAGAAAGAGCTGTCGAGTGGGAGGATTGATATTCTCGCTACTTTCATCCACCTCCATCGAATCAGTCTCAGGAATAATCTCTCCTTTTTCAGAGAAGACAGCCTCATCATAGGCAGCTGCTGGGCTTAACTTCCGAGAGTTCCTCTCAACCCAAGGACGGCCCTTTCCAGCATAGTAATCCATTCGTAGCTGTTCCCAGGTTGTCCATTCCCAGCCGCTGCATTTGTCGGGTTCCATGAGCTGTTGGGTGTTAGTATGTCCTTCTGTATGGGAGATAGTGAATATGGGAGAAAAAGATCCGCATGACCACAATATATTCATAATAACATCAAGCACGTGTATATGCTTTGAAGTCTTAAAAAAAGAGATAAAAAGGGTAGGGGAAGATGCTAACCTTAGGCTGCGCATCCACATCACATAGCTTACACCCCATTACCACAGTAATGTAGTGCTTTCCCTCAGCTTTCATGATATCGTTAGTGACAGTCAAGAAACGGATGTCTTGGACCTTGAGATTTGTCTCTTCGAGGATTTCGCGCTCTGTGCATGTCTCGAATGACTCGTTGAGTTCGAGATGCCCGCCTGGAAGGGCCCAGGTTCCTGAATTTGGAAGTATATCAGTATTATTATTCAAGTAGCAGTAGTAGTGAAGATTGAATATAAGTTAAGTTATAATGTTCTTGTGGCGGTAGGTATAGTGGTCATAGTGGTAAGTACATACCAGCACCGTGACTGCCTTTTCTCTGGCCGATAATAAATTCGTTGTGACCGTTGAAGATGAAGACGGCCACACCGACGCGGGCATTTGTGTGGGTGGTCATTTTCTGATGGTTTGGTTCGGGTCGGAATGGCAAGTGTCTGAGCATGTGGAATGAATGGAACCGGTATGAGTTTGTTTTAAGAAGTGGTAATGTTCAGGTGGTGAGGGATGAGTGCAGGCTGCAATACTGCAGCGAGACCGAGTCTACTTGTCTATTTTTTATACTGTGTGAATAAATTCACCAGTATTGAAAAGTGACTACTGCAAGGCGGGATTAACAGACTAGGCTGATGCAAAGTGGCGGGTGCTTAATTAACGGAATGGAGGGGTATATATTAACGGAAGTTACCTAGTAATTAAGAGTGATAGTGTACAGTGATTCTACCAATGTGATAATGTGGCGCAGCTTGCATTGCCTGCCCGTAACACAGCCCGAGTGAGTGAAGTTCCCTACAGCTTCTCAAGCAAAGAACCCACAAACTCCGGCAGAGCCTCCAAGGCAACATCCTCACGTACTTCAAGTCGCCGACACTGCACTTCCAGGGTGCGCTGCTTTTTCCAGCCTTTGCCTACGACCACAATCACAGGGTACCCAATAAGATCTGCGTCGCCCAGCTTCCAGCCCATTTGCTTGTCGCGGTCGTCCAGGATGACGTCAAAGGCAGTGGTGGGCTCTGAGGTGAGCGCGTCGTATATTTTCTCGGCTTCCTCTTCCAATCCCTTACCAGGGACGACGATGACTTCGTAGGGAGCGATCGCCCGGGGCCAGTTGAGTCCCTTGGAATCTGCCAGGTTGTCTGCTACCGCGCTGATCATGCGCGATACTCCGATACCGTGACAGCCCATTTGCATTGGGACCAACTGGTCCTTTTGAGACGATGAACGGTCGCCTGCGTCGAGGTGAGCGCGGTCAACCACCACAGAAGCCTGGAGGACATCGCTGTATCGCGTGCCAAGGTGGAACGTGTGACCAAGTTCGGTGGCTTTGTGGGTCTTTGTCAGACCTTGGCCGCATTTCGAGCACTGGTCGCCTTCGTGCACCCGTACAAGGTTGAGATAGTTGTTGGTTCCTGGGAAGCGATCGAGTTTTGAAAAGTCAATATCCTCAACGGCGCGGTTGATCCCGTCCAGTGTGTCCGTCAAGGGAGGGCGCTTGTATGCCCGTACGTATGAGTCATACACATCCAACACTCGGGGCCGCTGGCTGGAAGCCTCCTCTGACTGAATGTGAGTTGCCCATTGTTCCAGGGGGTTCTCAATACTGATATCGAGGTCTATGCCGGCTGCCTTGGCTATAGATTTGACGGCATGGGAGTTGACTTCCCTTTCAGCTGGCGGTTCACTAGGGTCCTTCAAGGTATACTGCGGATACCAGCAGCGCAGCAGTGTGTTTTTGTCGTGTGATATCGCCATCCACAGGCCAACAGAAACAGCTTTTGCTGATTCGCCGGACACTTCGCCGGTGTCAAAGCCGGATGCATGACCGACTTGGACCTGCTGGTCATCGATATTATGGGCCTTGCCGTCGGCAAGCTCCTCATTGTAGACACTATCGCAGCTGGAACAGCTGATAACCGTGTCCTCGCCCTTGTTGCTAGCAAAGTGGAACTCGTGACTTAGGCTGCCGCCCATGTTTCCAGAATCCGCAGCAGCAACCAAATAGGGGATCTTGAGCTCATCAAAGAGCTCTGTGTAAGCCTTCTTCACAGCCGTGTACGTCTTGAGGGCATTCTCAGCGTTGTAGTCGAAAGTGTAGAGATCCTTCATGATGAATTCACGTCCACGAAGTAAGCCCTGTCTGGGTCGTTGTTCATCTCGGTATTTCCTTGCTAGGTTGATATGAGCTGTTGTTCTCAGCTGTGGATGATATACTCACATATTTGGTACACCCGCACGGGCAGATCTCTATACGACTTGGTAAGATGTCCTACCAAAGTGGTGATTTCCTCTTCATGAGTTGGAGCAAGGAGAAAGCGGGACTCTTTCCGATCCTGAAAGCGAAAGATCTGAGACAGATATTAGCAGAAAATCAATGACTACACAGCGGAATCCATACCTCCGAGCCCTCTTTGAGACGCCCAGACTGCTCCCAAAGTTCCTGGGCGGATAGAGATGATAAAGACACTTTAGATGCGCCTGCAGTGATCCACATGGTGAGAACGAACTCTATAACTGCGGACCTATGGTATACATACCAACTGTTCGCATATGCTTATCAATGAGACGCTCTAGCTTATCTTGCACACGCAGTCCCAGAGGTAGCATATGGAATATCCCCGAGTAAGCCTAGACCTGAGTTAGAACTATACCTATCATATTGGGATGACACTCACCTGTCGCAAAAAGCCACCTCGGATCAAAAGGTCATTGGCATCCTCTGAGCAACATTAGAAGCGGTCAACATTGAGATGGGTGGCCATAATCAATACCTTTCTCACCCTGGACGGGCTTTTTGGTAATACCGCCCGTCGGGATCCAGAAATTAGACACCCGACTGCGCCCATCAACCTAGAGAATAGTCAGTGGGACTGCTGGGTTGAGAGTGAATTAGGTCATCTACATGAAAGGCGCATTTTGATGTTCTATGGAATCGAGCAATGCGAAAGTATGCTCGACATGTTGCGGAATAACGGCCCGGAACCGGGCGAAACCCGGAAATCATGAGGCCGGACGATCAGGACAGCCCCTCAATACTTGGCAGTAATGTTCATCCAAACCAATGGATGACACCATAACCAAGCCAGATCAATCGCAAGTAAATAGATCGCAAACGTGCGAAACTCGACAACTTCGGATGGTCCGTGCCCCGACCCATGGGTCTCGGCCCGCCGTTTCTCCGGCGGCCTGGCGGCTCTCCTCAATTTTTTGGCGGCAGAAAAAAAGTAGATGCAAATCCCCATCATCAAGTCTACATTTGGCCGTACAACTATCCGTCATGGCCAAAAGTAAGGGGAAGCGCTCCTCCGGAGCAAACGACGTTATCCCCGACGGTGGTGTCGCTGTTAACGACTCCGCCCCCGCTGCTGATGCCCTTCCACAGCTTGAGGAAAGTGCATTTGCCGGCTTGCGACAGAAGATCGAACAGCGACTGAAGGACCAGAGCGCCTCGAAGCAGAAGCCCAAGAACAACAAAGGAAAGTCGGGTCCTAGTGATACGCCACAGAAGAAAGAACCTGCACCTAAGCCCCAGCCG